TTCACTACAAAAAAGCGTCCCCTTACCTCGTGTTATATTTAGGCGTAAAAAGTCCTATTTTTCAGTTGCAGTTCAAATATCCCACTGCGGGATGAAGAGATCTTACATTTTTTCCAAATGAGTTTTCATGTGTTTCAGTAAAACGAGCCAGAAAGCGGCAATTCTCCTCGCTAATATGAAGAAAAACGATCCAGGGAGTCTTGAAACCAGTTCATCTGCGTTGGACACGTGTAACATTAACTCACCAGCTGGAAGATTTTTGCACTTCTTTTGAAAATTTTGGATTAAATCGCTGGGATTTAGAAATTAATGTTCATGACTGTCATAACTGTCAGCGCTGGCAGAAGCAGTTTTGGTATCTGTAAAGTCAAAAAACCGCAGAGGACTGTAAATAGATCACTTTTCTGACCCGCGTCTCATTTTCCTCACCACGTTTTGGCCTTGTACTGCTCGCTATAACAAGCTTAAACTCCCGTGCTGCTTCCAGGTCAGCGGAGAGACAGAAATATTTGCCAGAATGTGACAAAGAATATAAAATTCAAGTAGTAATATTATGCTGCCGCTGCGTCTGAGTAAGTCTTCACTTTTAAGCAGCGTTTCTAAAGCGATGGTTACGTGTGTCGGTTGGTGTTTTTTGGGCTCGACAAGTATTTGATAGATTACCGTGTAATTCCGTGCTGACGTTCACGATCCCCGCAGGATTAATTGTAATGTCTTTGTTATTCCCTCACTTTTTATCTATCAGGACACAATTTGAATCTTTTTCAATACCGTTGTTTACGACCTGCAAAGTTGGGATCAATCGACCGCTGGCCTGGCACGATTATTGGAACTGACATTCAGCATTTTTCCGATCATTTGTACCAATGTGTTTTGAAGCGATTTCCAGAAAAGCATAAAATAAATGTAAAAATGTGCTGCTTTGGCTCTGGTCTCGAGTAACGTCCCGCCCACAGATGTCTGACTGGTGAAACGTCATGAGGAACAGCTAACCAACACTGAGGGATCAATGATGAAAACTTCTCCTCAACACACGGAAAACATAAACAAAAAACAACAAAGAGTTATTCTAAATTTTGACACCATGATTACTGCAAATCCATAGTTCCAAATATTGGTTGTCGGTCTCCCTGATTACTAATAATTGAGTTTTTGTCCAGTTTTGATTCAGTTTTTCAAAGTGCATAAATGCTGTATGAACATCACGTTAACGTCAGTGATAATACAGCTGATACTTCATTTGAACATCTGGATTCAGAAGGTCATCAGCATGTTTTAAGTCTTAACTTGCAGCAAAACTGTATTATTAGTTAATCCACTGTAGATGCTTGAATGTAGGAAAACTGTTGTTAAAAAGTAAAAATGCTGAACGGAATGTTTCCTCAACTTGAACCGTAAATCCAGAGTAGGAATATTAATGAGTAATCATTTAATTTCCATTATTAATTTAACAGATAAAAAATATTTTAACCAATAAGGCAGAAGGACGTATCAGCTGTAGTAACTAGTTGCACCACCAGGTGGAGATTCTCGCTGTTTAACACTGAAGCAACACGAGGAAGCGATCACTCATACTATGACAGTTCAGTGGCGGCAAGCAAAGAGCATTATGGGAGTTTAGCTAGTAAAGGGCCACCATGAGGAAGTCTCATTGGGTGCCTAATGCCTACCGACCACAGCTCTCATATTGTAGGTGAGCTGTTGTACACTGTTATAATTAGTAATGCATCAAACTAATTTGCATAAATAATATAGCAGAAAAACATCAGCATGTTCGCTTTATTGTTGTGACCTTGCAATAGTTAGCATTTAGCTCATAGCAATGCTTAGCCCAACTACAGAGTCGCTAGCATGACTGTATACCATTACGAGATATTTTCTGGTCGTTTTCTAAAGCAAAACTTTATCTTGCTGGTTTATACTAAGTGACAAACAGAGTTTCATTGCAGAAGATACTTTACAAAGTTGTTTATTGACGATTTAACCCCTATAAACTCATCTTTGTCTATAAATGGTACATATTTAGAAGGTTTTTCCATGAAAATAATCCCTTCCTGCCTATAAATGGTCTGGATGTAACTCTACTCCACCTCTATTGCAACTCTCCACTTGCTGCTGCTCGAGCACACCAGCTCACCTACAACTCTGTTCAAACACTGTAAGACTCCTCTGCGCTTCACAATGTGATTCTGCCATACATGTTCGAACCAGAAACTTAAGAGTAGCAGAGAAACTTGTAAGTAAAGTTGTACTGCAATGTCAAGGTGCAAATGCTCAGCTGTGGTGTTGATAGCTTATTTTGCTAACGATGTGCCTTCTAGCACATAAACAACACCGTGCGAACTCGTTAACGGGGTAAAAACATCTTTAACACGCTAAATGGCAGTCACCTTTAAATGTAAGTAGGAAGAGAAGTAGAATGACTTCCAGCCCGTCTTTATACTGAACTGAACTCTCACAATAAAGAGCTGATTACAAGTGATTAGTTTAAGTGCCCACTGACAGGTCGAGGCCTAAATTTCCAGGAAACTAGAGTTAGATCAAGTGTGACTTTCTTGGAAGTTTGGAGAGGACGGGCTGAGTGGAAAAGCAAAGAAGAGACTCGCTTCTTGATAACAACACCGGTGCACAGGCAGAGAGAAGGAAAAAAGGCTGTCAGTCAGTTAATCTGCCGAGAACACGCTTGATGAAAACTGGTGATTCATTTGTATATAAGATCCAGTTGTGCACCAGCTCTTTCATGACATCAGCGCTTTGGCATCGTTACGATCTACACTTCGCTCACGTCTGTCTGATTGCTCTTTATATGTTCGGAGGAAATTTGTCTCCAAGCAACAAGTTTGATGTTTTTCAAAACACTGTGTTTTTTTGGGGGGTTGTTTTTTTGTTTTGAAGTCGGGCATTGAGGTGAGGAGGGAGATGCAGGCAAACGCAACGTGTTTCTGCTGTGGATTATTGTGTAAACGGCCTCAGATCGGCTGATAGGAGTTGGCAAGTGAAGGATGGAAAGTGTGCCCTTCGTTTCTGGTTACGTCTCATTTTCCACCACCTTCTTCTTCTTCTTCTTCTTCCTTCAGTACCTGCGTCTAACCAGATCTCCTGTGCTGGATTCTTTAGTGGTTGCTCTTAAGACTCTTTTAAGATTAAAGTTGTCATATGCAGCATTTTCCCACTTGACAACTGCTCGATGGATCTACTGTTAAACAGGTGCTTAAGCGGTCTTGAAAGTTTTACCATCACTTGCAAGAAGTAGAAAATAGGACTGTAAATAGGTACATTTTTGATGTACTTGACTTGAGTATTTCAAATTTGTGTGCACTTCAGAACAACAATTCAGAGTCAAATGTTCTGTTACATCTATGTGACAACCTTAGTTGCAAATGTGAAAATAAATCAGGATGTAACATTATAGATTAACATAAAACTTCATTGATTTGAAATTCACAAGCAGCAGATAAACTATGGGTTGTTTTCCACTGTAGGAACTTGCAGGAACTTTGTTATTCTGACACCAGAACCGATTCCAGTGAACCTATTTAAGCGATGATTTTGGGGAAGTAGAGAAGATTTATTCCAGGATAGACTCTTCTGAGCAGCCCTGATAAAGCTGCTGTGCAGGCCTCAACACTGACTGGTTAAACTTAAAGAAGATAAATGCTGATTGGTTAAACTCAGGAAGGAAACAAGCACCATTTTTCCGCCATCTTCAACGTAAAATCCATTGCGCAGACTAGCATAACTAATAAATTCCCCATTGTTCTACTTCCTACGTGCTCATAAAATTGGAATTCCATTCAGTAAATACTATTTTTTGTTTCTTTGGCGTGTTTAAGTTGTCGGATCGTGCACAACAATAGAAACAGGAACTCTGAAATGGTCGATTACGGATACGTTTGCTCCATCTCGTGCCTGCCCCAAGTTCCTGCAATAGAAAGCACTGAACATAAAGTAATTAAACCTCTAACATCACAGTGATGGAAATATTTTTGCGCTACAATTCAGTAGTATAATATCCATTATTCTGAAATATGCCATTCAGCATAATGAGTACTGTTACTTTTGGTATTTTAAGCACATTTTTGATGTAAATACTTTTGTGCTTTTACTCAAACATAAATTCAAATGCATGTCTCTTAGTTGAATATTGATTCTTTTACTCAAAGCATGACTTAAATGCTCTTTCCACCTCCAAAGATGAGATAAGTTGAAATGCTCCTTTTGTTTTTCGAATAGTTGAAACCGTTTCAACGATATCTGGCTCAGGTACATCACTGGGCCACTTCTCACCGCAGAGGATTCTGGTGCAGCTCAGTGCACACCTACTCTCTCCTCCTCACTAACCCACAACTCTATCTGTCTGGCAAAGCTCGTCCTCTCCTGAAATCCTTTAGAGCTTAAATATATTCGAGGCAGCTGCCGAGCCAGGAACCATTACTGCTGTTAGAGAAAGAGGGCCGACGTCCAGCGGCGGAGCAGAATCGACTCGCTAATAGATCATGAGTAAAGACCTTGGGAGGGAGGGAGGAAAGATTCCCGTTCCTCCGAGTGTGGTTTGGCTACTTTGAAACTTAATCAAGGTTCAATCCATCTTCAGCCAGAGATCAATTATACAAATTAGCCTCCAGATTGAGCTTCGGTGCAGAACGGAGCAGCTCACACCCTCGTTACTAAACAAAGTGAGGCAGCAAGTGTTTGAGGAACACAGAAATGTTTTGAGCAAAATGGGCAAGTGACCCACGAGTCCAATTTGTATGTTACTTTGGCATAATCTCAGATTCAGCTGAATGCAGCCTTTGTTCAAACATGGGGGAACTAGAAAGAAAGAAGAGGAGCCAAAAAATGAAAGAACAAACCTAAATTTTCAGGGAATAAGAAAATAAGAGTCTGAAACTCAATCTTAAAAAGAAGCGTCTCTCTTGTTTCGCAAAAGCCAAAGGGAGTTAAATGTGAATTGCACCATTGTGTGTTATGTCAACGTGCTGCTGAATTTGTCTTTGCAGTGGCTGATCGGAGACAGAGACAGTCACTGTGGGGTCATCTGCTCGCGGACGCAGGGGAAGCCGGTGTGCGGTTCGGACGGGCGGAGCTATGAGACCGGCTGTGAACTGCAGAGGGCGCGATGCAAAGACAAGACTCTGACGCTGGCTCACCGAGGCCGCTGTCGAGGTGAGAACTTTATGTGAGCATGCAAACTAAATCTGCCCGCAGATGCAGAAAACTAGTCTGCAAGGAGTCATTTGTGAGGGTGCATGGAAGGAAACTCAGATCTGAGGTTCATCTACCACTTTAAAATGATATTTGCATGATATCTTCACACGTTGGGCGTTTTACTTCCACACATCTGGTCAACAGCTGCCATTATAAGTCTTAACTTCACCATCAAGGGTGACGGCAACAATATTTTGATGGATAAAATAGAATTTTTCAAAATGCACTGAAATAAATGCAAAAGATGCTGCCAGGGTGTGCAAGAGAATATTGTGTGGATACAAAAACCAGGTTCGGGTTCGTGCTCACGTGAGGAAAAGTGTCTTCTTTACATCCTAATTTCTACTTGTTGTCAGTAAGTTTGCAGCAGCCATTACAGGATAAAACAACTGGAGATTAAAGAAACGAATGGAATATATCATTAAGAAGAAAACAAGGAGACATGAACAAAAGTCTATTTCAAATGAGCTTACATCAGACCAGACAGTCTTCTTCCTCATGCGCTCAGAGTCCTTTTAGTTCTGTTTTGGAGTCAAATCTCAACCAAAACACCCGCGAACCGACCCAGTTAACACCACAGTCACAACTGAAACGCCTATGGACCACTACATGTTAGCGCTGAACAATAATCAATATATATATATATAGACATATATTGAGATTATTTTGAGAGCTTTCACTATATAAGTTCCGATTTCAGGGGAAATGGTCTTTTTTTTTTCATTTCTTTTCCACTGAAATAAATATAAAAATGATGATGTGCAGTAATTATCAAACGAGCATGTCTCCTAACACCTAAACAATATGATTTATCAATGGTGGCATCTCTGTGGCACCACAACACTTCAATTATAATGAATTATTGTGACATGTTTTATCTTTATCCAACAGCTGAAGTTCCTGTCATTCGGATTGTGCACAAGGCCGTGCGATTTTGACAAGATTTGTATTAGTTGTTCAGTCCAATGTCAGATTAAACATACAATAAGTGTGAACGTTTTTGTGCTTCATATCAAGTGTGAACATTTTCTGTGAGCTACGCTCACTTAAGCTAATTACCGTCCTCACTAAGCCAGCTATGTTGATCAAAACACAACTTCCATACATAGTCAATAATAATTCTGGACTGTTAGAGTCACTGAATAAGCACATCTTATCATATATTTGTAGCCTCCTCGTCCTTTTCATGCCCCAAGTCCTTTAATCTGCATGCATTTCGAAGGTGAAGACTTCAGGGAGGATGCAGGGGATTCACTCCCCTCAATATGACAGAAGCAAGGAACTTTTATTTTGGAAAGGTGCTATGCTTTGTAACATATTGCGCTTGCTTTTTCTCTTGTCTTTCACATAAGGACATAAACACAATCAATTTAAACAAGGGTCAGATTGGTGCATAAAAAAGTCCCGGAATGCAGAAAATTAAGACATTGTTGCCCAAAATGACCTTGGAGAGGATGCAGGAGACATATTTTGATGTCAAAAAGGTTTTATCGTAAGGTGAGGAGTTAGCATCTCCTCCTCTAACTTTATGACATGAAATCAGTAGAAATTGCTCTACAAATTATACATTTTTTGAGAATGAATCACATAAAATACCCAAACAGAAGTATGTCTTCCAGCTCTGCAGAATAAATACCTACAGAATGTACAGGAAGTGCTTCATAACATTCATGCATGAATCATATAAAAACTCAATACTGCCTTGCTGGCAGGCGACATGGTCTAAATGATATGGTGAATATTTCTGGCCTTACATGTGGGGCTGCAGGGAAAATGCATAGAAAATCAGATTTGAAAACATATGGTACTGAAAGGATTGCTGCTCTGTGCCTTCTGCATGCAGATGACTCTGTCTTGAAACTGCCCATAAAAAAACTCAACCAACTGCTGCTGTGCTTGAGATTTTTGATACTTGACATCATAAAAACATCAGCAAAAGTGCCATAAAAGTAAACATAAATAGATGTAATGGCATAAAGTACACAGAACTTAGTGTGACTTGTTGTTTTTTTGTGTTCCAGGTAAAAACTGGGTGAAAATAGATCAGCTGCCGGTGGCTCCAGCACCGACTTCCACATCAGAGGGCAGAGACCTGGAGCTCAAAGGTACGAACCAGCAAACACAGTTGAATTCAGTCCTATGAACACACAAAAGGCAAAAACAAGCCTCGTACCTAATCATAACCTAAACCTCCCTCAGACCCCGATGGATCATAAACTTAGAGAGCAATAAAATCCATTTATTTGAAATGGAGAGTGTTTAAGATGTTGCAGCTCGGAGCCACAGCACCAGCACAAAGTTTTGGGTAAAAAAAGTGGAACTGAACGAGAAGATGTCTTTCATTTTCCGCCTGTCTGTAGGCGTGTAAGTTTTTACAGACCAGGATCACACACTTCCTCAGTTTCTGGATGCCAGCCACTCAACAACAGCAGAGATTGATAGGTCTGGAGTCAAGGTTGGAACTTGGCATTTTTACTCCCTTTTTTTTTTTTTTCGGCCCCCCTGTCCATTAGGAAAACAGCCGCCCAACCAAATCCATTTTTGGAGCTGATTTTGTTCCCTCTGTATGGCGAATATGTGGTTTTGTTTCACAATCTGAAGTGTTGTGCCAGGAGAGGGAAAGCCGGGCAAAGCTCACGCAGCCTTTGCAGATGCAGCGGAGCCTGTTTGGCTGTAATGAAACTGCTGCTTTAGTTCACGAACCGCTCCGTGTTTACTGCGATGAAGGCTCGACGAGGTGTGCGTGAGATTCAGATTAAACACAACAAAGCGCATAAATTGCTAACAGGTACAACAAACAACCGCAAACAACAACAAGCACAAAGTGACGGGTGTTGCAACATTCAGAGCTGCGTTCATTGTTCCGCTGCGAGTAAACAAAGGCAGAATTAATACATCATGAATGAGCTCATTATTAAAGGGAAATGATTAAATTGTCTTTATTCATGTTTTGCAGTGAGATGAAAAATGGCAATCAATAGAAGATTCTGCAACAAGGTTTTAATGTGAATGTAATGCACAAGACAAGACATAATAAACTGAATGCTAGTGGTGTAGTTTCCATTAATCTATTTCCATTAATCGAACTTATTTAAAGTCCCTCTCTGCTTGTTGATTAAACCTCTAAAAGCTCATCTGTGTATCATTAAAAAAGTCTCTTCCAGCCTTGAAATGACATAAATGTACCTCTACACCATTGCTTCCTTTAAGTATTTATATCTACGAAGTTCCCGCCGCTTTCTCCTCCCAAAACCTCTGACACTCGCTGCAGCTCCTGCACACCAGCTCACCTTTGACTCTGCTCAAACACAGGTCATGTTTTCATAATAGTTACAAAGAGAATCTGAAGTAGAAATGTCACAAAATTCACTGAGAAAATGTGACTTATAAATAATGATAATTTTATTTGTATAGCACGTTTTAAAAAGTTTCGAAGGGGTTTACAACAAAACAAATGTCAAACTAATAAAGAAAACTAAAACTCAACAAATAAATAAGACTGCAAACAAGCAACAGGAACAACATAAAATAGTTAAGTCAAGACAATGTTTTTACGCATCTACTGTAAGTGCCTTCCAGCAAGACGTATTGTGATTGGCTTTATGAAAGTAACCCAGCAAGACTACACGTTGCAGTTAAGTGGTATTTAAGGTGTGATTACGCCTCAGGAATGTCCATTAGCTGCTTTGGAGCGAATAAACTGGGCTGTGTAATGTCACCAGAAGGTGGCGCTATAGGCTACATGGATGTAAATAAACAGAGTAGAAGAAGTCAGAAACCAAACCAGCTGTTTACCAACTGCTGAAAAACTCAAAGAATAAGAGGAACTAAACAAAACTTTGTCCATCTACGAGAAAAAAGTAAATAAAGAGAGGCCTTCAGGAATTGTTTGCAATCAGGAAAGTTGTAACTATTCTGTCATGTCAGCTGGTATTAACTGTGTTTAAAGCTGTCCGGAGTCGACAACAAAATAGCAAACAACAGCCGATCAGTCACGTGAGGTAAATGTTTGTTGGGTCGAAGCTTATTTTAAAGAATGGGGTTTCCATTTCCCATTATGCACATAAACTCTTTTGAAAACGAGCCAAAAAACACTTCAAAAAAGTGTAAAACTCCGAATGTAGTCCTTTCCATCAACTTTTTTTAATGTGATATGTCAAATTATGCTTAATAGCAAGTTGTTGACATGTTCGAACCACAAACCGAAGAAGAAGAATACAGATTGAGAGCATTGGCTGCTCAGGTTTGTTACATATAAAACCCGAATCCATATTTAAAAACTCATTAGTCACTGCAGTTTCAAGGCGGAACATGACTTTGGCTGCTTATTTTGCTCATGATGCGTATAAAACAACCACCATGTCGGCATAATAGCAAGGTAAAAACATGATTTTCACCAGAGGAAAGACTATTTTGACGTGTGTTTCTTGTCACAACAAACCAGCACAAGCATGAACAACTGCTACCAGCTGCTAATCATAAAGGAGTTTTTTCATTTTTATAAATCAGACTTATTTAAACGAGTTGCTTGATTTTGCTTTGCCTCCATAAAAACAAGCATGACAATGTTCCACGAGCCTTCTCCCTACAGTAAAACCAAACACACTCGGTCAAAGTCCGTGTTTGTAGATTCACGTGACCCCGTTTGTCCTTCTCTGTGACATCTCCACCCTGTTCTGGCTCTGTCACTCTTCTGCTGTGGAGGAGACAACATGTCTGTGTCCTCTCAGGTCCACAGCCGGCTTTGTTAAACTTTTATTTATCCAGGGGAGGATATTTGCCAGAAAGTGGAGGACTGCGGTCGTGCTGGTCAGCTCCCCGGTGTGAATATGTATACAGGAACAGTCGAACATGAAGCCGGCCTCCGCAGGAGCTGCAGTAAAAACAGTAGTCGTTGATGGGAGTCTGAAGCTGTGACCAGCTGGTGTGAAGCCCACTTCGTTCTCTGACCTTTAAAGCCACTTCCATCCGAGTCCCTCGAGAGCAGCTCTGGCTCATCAGAGCTGCAGAAACACAAGCTCATTTTCCACTGACATTTCAAAATATCAACGCAGAGAGCATGACGCACTCCTCAGCACGAACAATGTCGAGTGCACAGCCTACATCTGGCACTGGTAATGGTCAGTGTCGAGGAATGTGTTGTTTTAGTATTTTTGAATAGTGTAACAGAAAGTCTCTGCCTTGTCTGAGTTTAATCTATCTACAAAAAAAAAAAGGTTTGAAAATCATTTTTTATTTTCGTCCTGTGTTTAAAAAAGCCACTTATTATCAGGAAGGAAGCAGTGGTGGAGGTTGGAAAAATGGCTCAAGACTCAGTGGAGAAAAGGAATAAATAACGCTCTTTTCCCGACACAACTATCAAATCGTGCCCTTGAGCAAGGCACTGGAGCGTCACCGGCCAACAGTAGTAAACTGGGGGTGTGAACTGGGTGTTGTTGACAAAGAACATGTGTCTATAGTACAACAAACAGCAGCAGCTCTGCAGGTTTGGGAACAGACGGCCCTGTCGATGCGTTGCAGATGCAGGTCAGTCCAAGTGTCGCGTGGAGAGGAACCAGGCTCTGGAACAGGCCCGGAGACCTCAGGAGTCCATGTTCATCCCAGAATGCAACGAGGACGGAACATTTGCCCAGGTCGGATCATCCGTGGCTTCTCTAAATCTGTCACGCTTCATCTTTCTCTTTCCATTAGTCTCATGTGAACCGTCATCCTCACATCATCACACAGTTTAGTTTTTCCTCCCTGACAGACACGTCTGCACCTCGTTCTGTATTTATTAGGCTGCACTGAACCAAAGAAAATCTCAGTCGACTGAAATCATACCTACACTTCAGCCGATTGATTGATCACAGGGAAAATAAATCTGCACGTTATTAATAGATGAACCAAATGGGCCACGGTGCATTGAGCGTGCTCTACTTGCTACCCTTACTAGCCTAAATGAACTATAAATACATGCAAAAAGCTCATATTTGCAGCATATTTAATCATTTTAAACTAATTATTTTACACTGAACAGATTCAGAGCAGACCAGCTGCATGATTTCTGAAAATAAAACTCACCAGTTTGATGTAGGACAAGTTAGCTGCTGTTTTTAGAATATGTGCAGAATCAAAATGTCTTTATTGTCCTTGTAGGTCTGCATACAATGAAGGAGGAACAAAATTAGGAGTTTTGGCTGTTGAGCTGCGATATACTGATATGTACTGATAAACTGCAAAGTTTATGCAGCCACAACAACAATTTCTTTAACTTGCTGTTACTTAGTTTGGAGCAAATGTTCAGTAATTAACAGTTAAAATGATGAAGGCACTTGCAAATTCCAAGATAACAGAAAATGTAAGCCAAACTTTGGTGTTTGTTTTATTTTTTTTAGCTCTTTACTGAAGACTTCCTTCAACTTTTCTCGTTTTTTAATATTTGTTGTACAAAAAAAGCTGCCAACGGACTCCTGAACACTGTCTAACTTGCAAATTTATTAGTAGCGGTTCAGGTGCGTAACCTTAACACCGCTTCATTTTTTTAAGCAAATGAACCTAAACAAGAACCAAAATGAAAATATTGGGTGGATAATAGTGAGAATATACACTGAACAATTTCAAACCTCTTTAAAGTCTTTAAAATAAGTTAAACCTTGTTTAAACTGTGAAAACATGAGGGTGTTCATAGATAATCTGTCTTACACCAAAAAACAAGAGATTCACTCTGAAAGGCTGTCGATGGAGGGCTTTTTCTCCTTATAAAACTAACACCGTTAATTGTCCGACCAAAGACAATTTGTGAGATCATTTTGAAAAACCATTTAACTGGTTGAACTGGACACTACAGCCTTACTTTCTACACTCAAATAGACTAACCACATGAACTACGACGATAATTTTTGGTGTGTTTTACCTTCTTCTATCCATCTTGCCTCTGCAGGTCCAGTGTCATACTCTGACAGGTTACTGCTGGTGTGTCACCAGTGACGGCAAACCAGTGAGTGGCTCCTCAGTGCACAACAGGACCCCGGTGTGTTCAGGTACTGGGGGGGAAAACGGCCTGGAAACCTGTGGATGACATGTTTTTCTGCATCAGCTGTGCACATCCTAGATATTTGTGCAACCAGAGTAATGTTTAACAGGTTGTATGACGGAAACTCAGGTCTGGTTGGATGTTTCCTGATATTCTTTATTTGGCTGGAGAATCAGCAAAACAAGCATTTAAAAATTTTAAATGGTGGCTGCATTTGTGGGATGTTGCAGCCAAGAGCGCCTGGAAGCCAAGTTACTGGGGTTTCAGGCCAACTTGTTTTCATTTTTCATCTATTTTTCATAATTCCAAAACCAAATAGAAGTAAGCTTTCATCCAACATTTTAAATTCTCACTAGTAAAGACTGAAAAGGGGTCACTTCACTGCTTCAGACAGCATATTTCAGGTGGAACTGAAACTGAGTAAATGATCAGTGAACTTCTGGTTGCTCTGATGGAGGATAAAGAGCAAACATAGCCTCTGGGTGACAGTTAGAAGGACTCTAACAGTGTGCCATAGTACGCCACATGTGTATTACATGTCAAGTGGCATATAGCAGGTGCAAGGTCAACGAGAAGGCTAATGGCCATACATGCAGGGGCCTCTGAAGCCTCCAGCTCCCCCCCGCCCCCTCGCCCTCTAAATGCTCTCAGCAGGCCAGAGCAGCTCTGCACACTCATCCTGGATGGGAACACTTTATGATAATCACCATCATTTTCCCTCAGAAGATAATACACAGGGGTCTTTGCCAGAAATTGGATTGCACAGCCACTGGAGCATATGGTGCAGATTTTGTGTGGAGAGTGTGGTGAAAGTGGTCGCATGCCCCTGTGAAGCTGCTCAGCAGACGGCCAGAGGCTTCCCTCTCTGTCTCCGCTGTTTCCTCTCCCACTTCATTCATCTTTCTCTCTGCCTCGACTCTCTCTGCTTTTCTCTTCGCTCTGTACGTCCGATTTGTGCCACTAATCACCTGTATGGTCTCCGCTGGCACCTGCTGCTTTTCAGTTCTTTGAGAAAATAATCAGTGAGTTCACAAATGAAGCGTACTTGATAGGGGTGATCACCAAACGGTTGGATCGTATCCCGGCTTTGGAGTCATGGATCAGATCAGTTTTCGGATCAGAGAAAAAACAGGGAGGCTGGTGGACAGAATTGCTGCAACTCTGAATTATTTCTCGCTGAGGCAGAAGTATGTTCTCAGTGCAGTTTGTCTGTTTACTTGTAATCTGGATTACAGAAAAACTAACAGGCTGCTTTTCATGAAACTTGTTGGAGAGATGAAAATGGCTAAATCTTGGTTCGGATTAAAATTTCAATCAATGGCTAAACTCTGCAGGTAATCTTTGGTTCACATGTGCCAAACTGATTTACGAACAACTACAGTCGGTTACACCACTAATACTTGGACATACATTCACACTAATGCGTGGAAGAAGAGTCACACTCAAATTATATTTTCTCTATTTCTGCACCAGATAATAAAGCTTTCTGGAGTAAAACATGATTTGTTTATTTAGACATTCACACCAGACAGTGGCACAGCGAAAGTATTTGTGCATCCACACAACACAGGGGGCGCTGAAAGCTTTGTGACACTATTATATTTAACCTTGTCATTTTGTTCTTTATCCGCTCAAAGGCCACCACTGTTGAGATGGTTTCTAATCACTCAGAGTTCACCACACAGCTTTACTTTGCCTATTAAAGCCAGTCCAGTGGTGGCTAATCCACTCAAAACGTGTTTTTTGGGTCCATTTATTTCAAAATGTAGTTGCAAAACCTAGTGGAATAACCCTCTGAACCCCAAAATGTAACAGCAGACTTGAAATGTATATTGTTTAGTTTTTTTTCCCCACAAAAATTACACAATTTATCAGAAACTGTAACAATAGAAAGAATCATTGCATTTATAATATTCTGATGTTTTTTTTTTTTTCCAAGCTTAAAGTTGTGACATTTTATGAAGTTTGTTTCATTCTACACGTCTTACTTAAAAATGGACCCAAAACAAGCCATAAACCAGCTGAACTTTCAGCTGAACTCGGTTGAACTGCAGGCTGTGTTTAGACATTGCAGGTAGGAGACAAGTATGGAAAAAATCAAGCATATAAGCAGTAAATTAGCTTCAGGATTTAGGGTTAAAAATAGGCCACAGTGAGGAAAAATGAAACTACCAGAAACTACTTGGGGTTCAGAGGGTTCATCAGATAGCCCAGTGAAATACAGTTAACTGCAGCTATTTAGATTTTTCAAGACAACGTCTTAAATTTGAGGATTTTTCTTTGTTTTGTATGATTGTAAAGGAAATATCTGACATTTACCAGACTACTAATTTAATATAAATTGCAGAATAGTTTGCAAGCCTGCTAAATAGGATAAAGAAATCAGTCAATCTGCAGAAATGAATAACTCCTACGCTCAGCAAAAGGAGTTTTCTCAGGTTTCAATGAACTCTTTATGGAATCCTGAAATGTAGTTTATTGCACAACAACACAGCCTCTGCCTGCCTCCCTTCTGTCCTGCATAAGATCCGATATCTTCATTGTTTCTTGCAAAGGTATGTATGACAGTGGAATCAGAATCTGGGCTCAATGAACTGTACCTACAGCCGCTACAGAGGTTCATGCCCACCTTCCTTCACCATCCCTCGCCTCCTAAATGACCTTTGCTGACATGCTCGGACACCCCTGTACACTATCACCCAAATCAATCATCTCGCATACATTTGCAGGAAACTTCCGTGAATTTATGGGAACTCATGCTGGGACAAGTGGATTGTCAGGTAGTAAATTTCCTTCTGGTTGCATTCACTCTAAATTCCTCCCCCTTTCTGTCGTTCTAATTGGTTGTCTAATTTTGCTCTTCCCCCGATGCATCCATGCATGACACCGGCTCCCTGCATGCACAAAACCACAGTGATACTTGAAGCTTAATTGTTTTGTGATAACAGATTTCCACAGACGGAGCAGCTCGTTCAGGTTTGTATTAGTCTGGATTAAGATGATGGAATAAGCCTGATGTTTGCTGTCAAGTACTAACTGAATGTACTCATCCACCTCAGTATCAGTGTGTTGGGCAATCTGTGGGCGTGTTGTTTTTCTATCAGAGTGTTTCCTGTGTTAACCTGGAATAATAAGTCCCATGAAATAAAAACATAGCAACTAAAAACAAATTAATTTGCAGCACGGTGGTAAATTTCAAACAATTTTTTTTTCGCTTTTCAAGATGTCCATACGTGATTCTGGAGTCGATTCCTTCTAATGTACTTGCTGCAGTCTAATCTTTTACTATGTACATGTTGTGTTTCTTTCCTCCCTTTCCAGGGTCAGTAACCGACAAACCGCCCGGGCCACCAAGCTCTGGTAGAAAAGGTGAGCTGAGATCTGCTGTATGTAGCGTGTGCATGTGTGCGACTGTTTCTGTTTGTATGAGAACAAGAGCACGAGTTCAAAATGTCTTTTGACCTATTTTCGCTCCATCTGATAAGCACCAAAGTCCATATTTGTGCACAAACGTACATGAGGAGCATTTCGCTTAATTTTAGGGAGAAGGAGCTTTGGCTAAAAATAGTAAAATGATAGATCTAAATACTACCTCTCTGGGAGCTGTTTTGTTTTTTTTCCATGTTAGCATGACCTGAGCTTTATAAATAAACAAGATATGATCTGAAATACAGGCACTGTAGTGTAATGCAATCTTGAGGTGTCTGTTCAGCTTCAGTATTGGAGTCAGTGACAGTTCTGGCTGCTGAATAGAGAAAATACACTATAAACTCTTGACTGGTTTGCTCCATTTATGTCTTTATCCATGCTGTACCTGCTGGATTAGTCATACATGGCAAAAGAATAAAGACGTCTTCTACTAGTTTGCTCGAAGTAATTCAAGCATTTAACCCTCTGAACCACAAAAACATGCCGGCATGTTTGAAAAGCATGTTTCTTTTAAAAAAAAGAAAGAAAGAAATTCCAAAAATATGCCATGAATCATTTCAAGAAACTTTAAAAACAGGAAGTATTGCAAGATTTCCAACTTTAGAACAGTCATGAACATATCATATGGCTTTATCAGTATAAATAACCAAAGAAAGTTGTGGTAATTCATTAAAATCACTCTATTTTATATGTTTCCCTTTAAAATAATCCCCCCCCCCCAAAAAAAAAAAACTAATAATTTTGTGTTCCTCAAGGCAATTGACTCAACAGTTGCGTGAAATTTCAGAGACTTTTTGGGTGAGAGGAAAGCAAAATATAGTTGATCAATAAAATTAACGTGGCATGGCTCAAAAAAGGTATACAGAGGAGCAAGTTGTTGGACGACACATTCAGCATGGTGAGACATCTTCATAGAAATGTGCAGTGTGAAAACACTCTCATAGTCTATTTATAGCATGTGGAACCTTCTTTTTTCAGTATCGGTAACACCTGCGGGCATTTGTGACGAGCAGTTCAGTGGGGAAAATATCTAAATCTACGCTTCAAGTCGAGACATTCCATCAAAATTATTGAAACTACATGTCTCATTTAAAAATAAATCATTTGTATTAACCAAATTGTGTAAGACAAAAATCATTCGTGACTCAGTTGTGAGAAAAACATGAGAAAAATTCTGCTACTTTTTGGCTGAACTGTCAGCAGTGTACTCAGAGCAGATAGGAAACATATGAAGCACGGGAACAAATGTAAAATGTACATTATCTGTAGTATGTAGTACCCAATGTCAGCAACGCGTGGGTGCTTGCAAAATGTTGCGCATGTTAATTACAGTTTTTTAAATGATTATTATTTTAGTAAAATAAATAAACAAATACAACTTCTTATTCTAGTCATGGCTGTGCTGTTTCCACAGAGGTGCAGGACTTTGTACTGTAAAAAAAAAAAAAAGCCAACAGTGAGTAAAAATGTGACAGGTGCAAAGAAACGGCATAAAACTTCTTAAAGTTCAGAGGGTTAAAGAAGAACTAAAGCTTTTTTTCCTTGGTCTGCTTAGATCATCTGACAAACAGGAGCTCTGCTTTATAAATTTCAAAGAAAATAGATGTAAAATGATTCCTGTACATTTGTTCTACATACAGTAGAGTTACTGTAAAGGCAGGTGGTAGTTGACATAAAGGTTTGCTGTTGCTGCTTACTTTCATTGTTTTTCCCCCCTTTCACAGTTTATAGCTCAGCGTCCAGAGCTGAATCTAACAGTAATTGACAAGTGCTGTAAGTTACAACTAGTTAAAGTTTCAGAAGAGTACAAATAAAAAGAAATCCGTAACGAAGCATGTGTGTTTGATCCAGGTTTGCGCTGCAGACCAACCCAGTAACTGCTGCATTTTATTTACAGTTTGACCACATCGGGTCAGTTTGACCTCGTGAGGTTCAGTATAAATGTCATCTGATTTAAGGACTTAGCATTAGTGTTTGTAGAATGACCTCCAATCAAAGTTTCTCTGTTGTTTGCTTTTGATTGAATTATTTCCTTAAGGGATGTTCCAGATGCCACAAAACTGCACACGGGTGAGTATTCTAGGCAGCTCAATTCACAGCATTATGTAAGATCCATTTCATCTGATCCAGTTCTGCAACAAAACACTGACTCATAGGCTGGTTTGGATATTTCCTTTGCTACGATGTAAAGTTTGACTGAACACGTTTTTTAGTTGCTGTCAAATAGCAAAGGATAACCTGAATATGAACACTAGAGATGTTTGTGTTATCCAAATAAGAACATTTTTGAAATGCTGAATGGTAAAATTAGGATTATTTTTCACCCTGTGTTCAAGAAACCTGAAGATAAGTCAAAGATGACAGTTTATTTAGTCTTTTTTACAAAGTTTAATTGTGATAAATAGCCACAAATTGGGTGATCCTCTCTATACACTGTATGGCTAGTACGCCATGTGAGCTGTGTATTTTGCATGCAGCCAAATACAACAGAGATTAATGGTTAAGGTGCCTCCCTGTCTATACTGTCCTGTCTCATAAAAGATAAAAAATAATGTTAAAAAACAAGAGGCATAAGATTACAAGGTGATGCTGCCACTAGCATAAGAGGCCATTATTCATGTCGTGCAACGTGTGATAACAAGAAACACAGACGTTTACCCCGATAGTGATACGAAAGGAAGCGCCAGAAAGCGTTTATCTACCCGAGAGAAGAAATGTTTTCATATCGTTAGGGTTTTTCCTGCATAGACGAATTCTTGGCGCCCAACCAAAGAGGTCTTGATAAGAACTGTGAATAAAGAAAAAATCTATACTTTTGAACCAAGGACAATTCATACATTTCAGATTTCTGACAAATAAGGTAACACAGACTCATTGCCTTTGCTGTATGCCGACTCATCCAGCTTATTGTCATTTATAGTCACCCCTTAAACGTCCAATCTGATCTAAGAACATCCCTGATTTCTAACATACAAAAGACTGAAATTCTGGGCTAACTGACGCGTTTGAGGAAAAGTCTTGACAACAACCAGAAATATCATAATTCTTCCATTGTTCTTTTGATTATTAAGTATCTGAGTCATATTTAGAAAATAGGACTAAGGCATGTTTCAAATCAGTTTTTGAAGAGAGATGGCACGAAACTGAAGTTATCCTCCAAAGATCACCAATAGTTTACCGCCAAAAATTAATGCAGTCTGGTTACATGTTAAGATGTTATGGTGCGTGTCCACGGAGGCGTTTTGAGACACGAGGGGTTACGCTGCTTCCCAACATGGGACGCTTGATGGGCGTACAACTAGTCACTATAGAAGATCAACAGGTGCTCTTCAACATGGAATCCAACATGGATGTTACCCTCCTACAGTCACCTAAAAAAAAATAATGGCTGAACCTGATTGGACAAACACTTCACTCACTATAGGACCGACATGGCGACTCATTTGGAAACTTTCATGATGAAAACAGTTCACCAAAATGTACACTTGCTGAATCTGTTTCCATTTGAGATCAACAGCAGTTAGTTTAAATGTTTTTAGGGAGTTTGGTCGAATGGCGGCTGGATGCCCCTGATTGACATTAGGTGGCCAAACCTCAACTTTATGCAAATGAAGAACGGGGAATGTGGCACCCCGTCTTTTAAAACCCAACTACCAGAATGCATTGCATGGCTGCTACATAGACAATAAATGGGAAGCATTGAAGTGAGGCACCCAGTGGACACGCACCATCACTCCGGACCAGTGTTTTGAGTCGGAAGAACAAATCAACCAACTGACTGAACCAACTTTGACATCCTAGCAGGACAAACTAAGTCATTTTGACAATCAAGAATGACAAAGTCCACCATTTCACATCTGTTATTGAATAAACTCTGGATGCTACACCTGCACTCATGCAGGTCCTGGTGTTTGTGTGACTGTGTGGTTTTACAGTGCGACTGTGAGGGAGTGTGTTAAATGTGCAGCCTGCTCATGTTGCTGTGAGAGTGATTTATTGACGTGTGCGTGCAGAACCACAAGTGGGTGGTCGTCCTGTGTTTTTCTATTATTCAACCTGTCTGTCTGTTTTTTTCTGTCTGTCTGTCTGTCTGTCTGTCTGTCTGTCTGTCTGTCTTGGCCGGGCCATGTGCAAATCCCAACCATTCAACAGTTCTGGAGAGTAGATTGTATTAACCTCAATAATGGTAGTCTCTTTCCGTTTCTTTCTCACCCTCAACCCAGACGACGGCTCCAAGCCCACGCCCACCATGGAGACTCACGTCCCCCCCGAGGGTGATGGTAAGCCTCCTCTAACAGCTCTTCCACCTGTGGTAAGACTATGCATTCGCAACGACTCACATGGGGTAAAAGGCAGCTCACAGTATTGCTCCTTTGTGTACTTGTGGGTTTGTTCCAACACTTCACCGAAGCTACAGTGTGTCATGAGTTTAATATTCAAACCAAAGATCCAGTTTCTTAAAAATACACCAAGACATCAAATGGAAAACACCAGATGATATATTTGATATTTTTGGAAAACTGGGATCTTGGATGCAATTTTAATTTGTGGGCAAAGCTTGGCGGGATGTGTTGTTTTTAAACTATGCAGCTACTGGTAATGTTAAATAAAGCTCTGCTGTGGTAAATTTACTTCAACGTGCGAAAGCTGCTGATCTGTAATCTGTCATTCTGTCACTGCAGAGATAACTGCTCCGACGCTATGGATAAAACAGCTGGTTTACAAGGAGAATAAGCAGAATAGCTCCACTTCCAGGAAGCAAGGTGAGAGAAAGAAACCTTTTGTTCTGATAAGCACGTGTTCTTCACAGGTCTGCGTAGTAGCTTAACACTAAAAGTTGTTTAGAAGAGCCAGACGGAAGTGCTTGGGTCTAAATTCACATCCCTCTTCTCGTTTGAATAGCTGTTAAGATATTTATTGCAGCAATGTGTCGAAAACATCAAACAAAACTGCAGGACAAGATCTTTCTAATGATGCTAGCTGCCTGTCTGGGTGAAAAAGCACTGGCGAGAAAAATTAGTTGGAATTTACATAAAATGTAAACATAGTCACAACCTGCTGTGCATCCACACCCTTTCCTCTTTATTTGAGTTACTCATGGATTTATTATTGCATAGCTATACTATTGTCAATGACATCACTGAATTGGTATTAACCCTTGGAAACCAGTGCGTTTTTTTCATTCCTGTCATGTTTTTAGTCACTGTGGGCTCATTTTCTGCACCTTTATGGAAACAACACAACCATGACTAGAGGGAGAGAGACTTAAAAATGTCTTCTTTGCAATTACAGGAGTAATAATGCCATAAATCATTGGAAAAAAAAAAAAAAAAGTTGGATTTTTTTGGATTATTGGTTTTGCTGGTTTGGAATCTCCCAAATGGCCACAGGTGTTACCAATACTGGAAAAAATGGTGGTTCTACAAACGATAGATATTTTGCTATTGACATTTTTAATTTGTTTCCATATTTGTATCCTCTCTGTGTAAACACAGCATTTAGTTCGGTCGAAAATCCCCTAAATTTTTGTCACGCAACCTCTGGTAATAGATGAGCCACTAATGACTCTGTGGTTCCAACAGAGACCACAGGATGTTTTGTTTTCACAGAATCTGGTTACAGCTCGTGGCTTATTTCTAGTGAATTTTTAAACAATACATGCAGAATAATGATTTTGATGAAATATCAGGATTTTCTGCTTAGATCTGGTTACGTTTTCTGACTGAACGGCACGTCACAGATGATCAAGGACTGTTTGCAGGTTGAAACTCTGATGATTCCTTCTATTTTTACCGTTTTTGGCTCCAATAAATGGTGTCATTTTGGCGTTTGTTTTTACAGACAACATGGTTTTTTAAATCTGGCAGTGGATTTCGTGGTCCAGAGGGTTAATATCTAGATATGTTAATATCGTATCACAAGACAGAGCACAACTGGAGCTTTGCAATTATGCTATTACATATTTGAACATAGTGGAATAATAATGTTATGAAGACAGATGAAACTTCTGCAAAGTAATACCTTCACTAACTTCTTGACCCATTTTCATATTTCCTGCTTCTCGGTTGAATTAGTCCTGATTGTTTCTTAATGTATTCCTACCTCATAACAAAATAAATTTTCCAAAACTTCTGCCTGGTCTGCCACCTCTGCAAGTAGGCTGCTGTATGCGAACATTTATGTGAATGAAATAATGGCAGTTATTTCCCACAGGCACTAAGTGCATATTATTCCCCAATTACTCAGTTGTACAGTATCCAAACCCCCATGGTTCTGATATTGGCAGATTCCAGACATTCCCCCAACACAATTATGAAAATATATCTCTACTGCCAGCATGTTATGGTAGGATACACATGAAAACACATCAATTGTATAATAAAAAATAGATTTTTCCTCGAAATAAAACTTAAAAACTAAAAGAAATTGAAATTAAATCATGGAGGGTCTGGCTAGCCAGGACTGTTCTGAGAAAAACAAGATACAGCAAGCATGGCTAGCCCTTATAATGACCAAGGTAAGACTTTAAAAGTAAAGGTAGTGAAATAACCCTGAAAAAATCCGGTTTCTCAGGCTCATAGGTTTAATATGATCCAGGACACTTTCAACGTAGCACGCTAAATTAAATTGGCGGTTGTTGTACAATATGTGGGAAGCCAGCGAGGGATCATGTCCTTGACCACACGGCAGATAAACCTACCTCTGTTTACAGGTTGAATTATTAGCCACATATTGATCTAAAGAGGATATGAAAACTATACCAGAGCGGTTGCTTGAGCCCTAAATAAAGCATACATCAACTTGGCTCTGGTGTGACTGGTTTCAAAACCACCGGTTTGAGATGAAATGTAAAAGTTTTCCAGTTTGAAGACAGCTCCGCACCGCCAGGATTATGTTTCTTGGTTTCTTCCCTTTGGTGTAATTTGTTTAGCTTTCTCCGTCTCCTTTTCAATTACGCCTCGACATGTTCACTACCCTCTGGGCAGCCGGGCGGCTTTCACGCTTCTGTACCGAGTCAGGGAGTGAAAGCAGTGGGGGATGTGAGGGAGTCTGTGAGCATCAGGGTTACATGGATGTACTGGGTAGCTGATATATGGGACTGACGTTTATTAAAGCTCTAAACGTTGACAAAACAGACATTTCTTTATTTCTACTTACGATAAATGAAAACTACACGCCACATAATACAGAAAGTGGTGAAAAAGTTTAAATCAAGAACCCATTGTGTGTCTGTTGAACTATAATGTTTCACGTTGGTATTTTAGATATTTTTCTAATTCAGTGACCAAATGTTGACTACCCACAAAAACTGATTACTAGATTTTTTACCCTAAATCTAATCTAACAATCTAATATTTGTAGTATATGTCAAACACAGATCAAACTGTCCACCTGCATGTACGAATATTTAAATTCGGGAGTAGTTTGTGGAGCTTTTTTGGTCTACAATCCGAGTCATTCAATATTTCGTATGTGCCGATACCATTTTCCTCGATAATACACACTTCAAGTATTGTAAATAGTATAGTACCTGGTTACCTCTTACTGTGGCGACCAGAGGAGGCAGGCAGGCCTGTGTTGACAAATGGAGAGCATTATAGGAGCTTAGCTAGTGAAGGGACTCCATGACTAAGTCTTCTGTCACAGCTTAACGACCACTGGCCATTCAATCACCATAAAAATAGTGTTCTTGTATCCTGGTGGCATATGTAGCAATTGTTTTTGCAGCTGTATTATGTGTCTGTGGTTTGAAACTTTGATAATGCTGCATTTATTAAGAGAATTATTCAAATTTAACAGTGGACGTAGACAAAGGATTGGGCTTAAGTTCATGCCGATACCAATAAGTAAAAAATGGCCAGTGTCTGGACATCCCTACTTTAAATGCATATGTAAATGCCGTTAATGTATGCAATGTATATTTTGAATATTTCTTTGTTTCGCACTAACCACATACATTATGTATTACATGTTATGCTGCAAACAATAGAGCACACAAAAACTTGATTGTAGCATGGGGTTTCTTTTGAATGATGGTGACGGGGGAAACTGTGGTCAGGGCGGCATTGAGGATCGTATTTTAGCTGACAGATATTCGTTGTGACAGCTCTTTGAAACTTCTGTGGAAACCCCAGCTTCCTGTTTCCAATTAGCATCCGGTGTCCTCAAAGGACAAGCGACAAGGCCGACTCAGGGGGAGATGTCATCACGTTAGAGACATGAGGGATGTGTGTGTCGGCATCTGTATATGATTGCATGAGTGTGTGTGTGTTGGTGGATGTGTGTATCATGAAAGGATTGTATGCTTGTGACTGTGATTCAGTCAGAGCTGGAAAGAAGTAAAGCACATTTACTGAAGCAGAGGATGTAAACCTGAAGGCGGTAGAGTCTAACTGTGGAAGCAATGTTGTCACGTCATCACGTTTTGTATTGATGTCGTGATTTTGGTAGCAAACAGTTGCTGATTTATGCAGGCATGGCAGAAGGTTACATTTGGTGTTTTGTTTCTGGTAAAGTTTGATATTTATTGTTTTTTGGCTTTGTCTCTGGTTTCTACCAACTTCCATGAGAAATAACATCTGACTTTTTAGTTGTAAATGCTTTGCTACATTCACCAAATAGCCAGTAACTGAATAGGGGTTGATCAGTTATTGAGTCCAATATTCAGCATCTATCTGATTATCGTTATTATATATGAAAGATGCACATAGTTAGCTGGGTCTGAAAAGGAAAGTAAATGCAGAAGTGACCTAAACCTGCATTCTTTCTAACAACCAGCAGGAGGCGACTCCTCTGGTTTCCAAAATAAGTCAGATTATGTAGACGTCTATGAGAAAAGATACTATTTCTCACATGATTTATTACCTTGGTGCATATTTCTGGCATGAATTTATGGATTCAATTGCTAGTTTAAAGTCTCCTTCTATACAGCATGGTGCTTATTTTGTAAATTATGGACCAAGTTTAAGTAAAACAGAAAATCATGCATTGTATGTTTTTCAGCAGGGCAACATTTAGGGGCCTGACATGATACTGGGAATAGGCTGCTCCACTATTGTTCAGTTGTTACCACATCTATACACAGCTGTTGATACTACAATAGCTTTTATGTCCATCATGAAATATACTCATAAATATCACTGATGATATTTTTGGACCTTTCTTTCCTGCTTTTGCTGCCCTATTTCTGACCTCAGTTGACCCCATACTCATTTCTGTGTATCAAAGTCTTATATTCAGATTTTTTTTTACCATGAAAAAAAAAATTGCTACGTCCTAAAATGGCCTTAATATAAGTCTACACATTTGCTTCTCCACAACACTCACCGCAGCTCAGCACACCAGCTCACCTACGACTTCACTCAAACATTGTAAAAAATACTCTACAAGACACAAGTTGTAATATTAGAGTGATTTAGACATACATGTTTGACCTTATTCTGGAGAAGAATAATGATACAGACTCTTCCACCCTGAAAGTTGACAGGATTGGTTCTTTAATTTTTATTACCTATATAAACCAAGTACATGTTTTGAGACTGGTGTATTCCAGTGTACAAAAAAAGCATCATACTGACATGTTAACAAGGTAAAAATAAAAAAAAACCACACACCTTGATTTTCATAGGAGAGACTCTTTAACCCAACTGTTACTTGCAAATAAATTTAATAACTGTGATGTTTCAATTAGCTAAACTGATTAGACAAAAATTGGCAACAGTCACTTATTCCAGAAATAATTAATAATTATAGCCCTACATGT